AAGTCAATGGGACGATCTTGACGAGACGTTCAATCAATCAACAAGCGAACATGCTGAAAGACACGGGAATAATCAACATGGATGATGGATCGATATGGCATTTGCCATGATCGTTACCATTCATCCAGTTTCCAGGGGCCCCTGATTCCCACTTCTTCCCACCCACCCCAAAACACCACGCGAGCGACCATGAAGACAAGCCCCCAGCGGATCCATCCGCGGGTTCCTGTGAGCGGCTGTCGTCTCCACTCACATGCACCAAACTTGCCCGAGAAGTCGGTTCCTTCTCCCCTAGCTTCTGTGGTGATGGTAGATAGGTTCAAAGGGTGCAATTCTGGGTGGAGTCGAATTTTTCTGGCTTTTCTTCGCTTTTACCAGAACAGGTGCGGTGGTCGCCGCAATGACGATGGTGGGTGTGGCTAGATCCCCGATACTATTCCTCTTTCTAAGGTACTGTACGGAGTACTTTGATGTCTCATGACGGCCCAAGATCCATTCAGTCCATCCATTCCCTTACGACCGAACTAACAGATGGCCAACGAGAACCATGACTGATTGATACCCGGTTGCGATTGACTCGGATTCTGGAACCTCGGATTATATGGATGATGATGATGAAGATGAAGATTGCTGTTACAGATCAGATGTGCCCTTTTGGTCTTTCTTTTCGTCCTAAGGGTGATGTATGGCCTTCCAATTTCCGAAATGAACCCCCGTGTTTGGAATCAGCCATCATCGGGATTTTCTGACTCATGTCCACGAAACATTGATCATGGATTAGGGATTGAATCATCGGGTGTACTCCGTAAGCATGAACTACTCAGGCACAACAAGAAGCAGCAGCAGAAAGGATGGCGACACAAGAGCCATTCGGAACGTTGGCAACTTGAAGGGGGGAGGACGCAGCGAAACCCCTAAGAAATGGAAAAGAAAGGGGGAAAGGAAAAGCAATAGGAGGGGAAGACTCATGGTTTCGCATCCACAGCTTCGGGACGGGAGAGCCGCTGACCTAGCTATGTACAGTAGGTATGTACGGTACTATGTACTGTACGCTCGACAGTAAACAGAGCTGCTTCTGACCTTAGTGCTGGGTCTGTATTATGTTTTGCGAATTGATTATTCTTACTAGTTTTTCCCTTTTCTCTTTCTTCTTAACTAAATCCATCCAACTAACTCATTATCGTTACTGTTATTCCTCCGATAATTCTGGCCTTTTCTGGCCCCGTCAGCTGGGGTATGGTACCTTTTTCTTACTACTCCGTACTTACTATTTTTGTTTGGTTTTATTTTATGTTTTTTTTCTCTTTTCGTTTCTTTTTCTTTTGGGTCCTGCTGCTGCTGCCACTTTATCTCATCTCTTGTCTGTTTTGTTTTGCTTTTTTATTTTTGAAATTCTTCAGTGGTTCTCAGTCCGTCTTTTTTTCTGATTTCTCTGATTTAATATTCTATTTTTTAAGCTTTTCTTTTTCAGTTTTCAGTTGACTGTCTGGTCAGATCCTCCCCAATCTTAAAAAGAATAACCCATTTTAGTAAATTAAAATAATCAAAAAAATTGCAATGGCAGTAGAATGAAGAAGAATAAAGCGAGGTACTTACCGGTATATATCAAAGTGATGGAGCCCCTTCAACTCTCTACTTGGTTAAATTCTTCAATTCATCCTTCTCCATTCCCTGCCTGGCCATTCAATTGATCTCGCCCTTCTTGAACTTCTTCCTATCTACAGCCAGGACCTCCTCCTCCTTCTCCTTCATCCGCCTCCCTACGTACTTTCGCCCATTCCCTCGCGCCTTCGGTTCTTATCCCGACCTGCCTCTCTCCGTGACGTTACCTACCAGGCCGCGTTCCATCCTCCCTTGCGATACGTCCAGTCTCGCATTTGTTTTCTTTTTCGTTACCGGATTAGACGGAGTTCACTTCCGTGGCACCTCCTTTCCAGGATTACCTCCTTGCGGGCTGCATTAGTCGCTCCGTTTCCTTGGTTGTCGGCTCTTGATCAGATCGCGCTTGATCTCCAATAATTCACCAGCACGTCCCTGCGTGGTTTACCGCGGGTTTGCTACGATCTCGACATATCTATCGGCGAAAAAAGCAACAAAGACCGCAGATTTTCTCGAAAGGAAAGCAAAGTACCACGGCCTAGCCACCGGGCTCGAAGAAACCCAGCAAAAACGACCTGTCGACTGGGACTGAGGGACTCCACATCCTTTCCTCATTCTTACAAGCCCATTTTCTTTGGTACCTTGAAGTCGCATTCCTGCCCTACAGATCTACCTCTCCTCGCTACATCACCCTGTCTCGAGCGTCAGACCTGTGATCCCTCTTAATAAGGATTGCTCTTCCGATCTCACCTGCAGCTGCATCATCCGTCCTCTGCATCATTACCGCCTGTTGCCGGGAATCTTGGGTACCTCGCTAGGCGATCTATCAACAAACGCACAGTCACCCTATTAATTGGATTGTCCTATTATTTTATTTTCAACTATTTTAATTTTCGCCTTCGACATTTTCTGAAATTAATCTGGCCTCCGGGAGAGCCAGACCTGTCCTTTATTTAAGCTTCCGTGAGTACTCCCTTCAACCCCAAGATCTACTTTCTCTCTTCCCATCCACTTCCACCCTCCTGCCTCTCTTGCCTCTACCATCTCACAAGACCAACCTTGACCTCTCTGACCATGGCTGTCTTCGCAGAATCGGCTATGATACCTAAGGATCTCTCAGCCTTCAACATGGGACGCGGAGCTTATGACACCACGGGGGTCAAGAAGCCCGGTGCACCGCCGCCACCCCCTTCGACTCGATGAATCCCTGGAGGACATCTGCCAACCACAATCTGCTATCCTATTGATCTCTCGAGCGAAAAAGTTACTTGTGGTTATCTTGCACCTGGTGCAGGGCCCCTGGAGTTTTAACGTGACTGCTATGAAGTCGAACCTGTAAGTATTGTGCACCCCGTCTGCGCATTGGCCTGGATCCAGAACTGACCACCCAGTTCAGTTTCTGTATCACTATCTACCTGATTTTCTTACGCTCTTCGTTGGCCACCTCTGTTTTCGGCATATTCGACTCGGTTCCTAATCATGTCCTTGTCCTTTCCACCATCACCTCGATCATGGACTGACACCGGCTACCTTTCTTCTTCTTGGATCGACTCTTCATTTGACGCATACACCCTTTTTAATTTTCCGACACGACCTCCGGTCCATGATCTGTTTCATTAAAAGCCATCTGTTTCTTTTACTCGGGTGTTTCATTTTGGCTACTCTAGAATCGGCGTTTCTTATAGACGGACTGGGTTATTGTGCTTTGACTTTTCCTTTTGTGCAGTGGGATACATGGATTGATACCAAGACAGACTAGAACCTCCGACCTCGCGGTCACTTACCTTTTATTGTTATTTCGTCTCATTTTACAGAATACATTTCCTCAGTGGATTTCGTCTCCTTTTGTTGCAGTGTGCGGGTTTTTTCATGATTTGCGCGGATGTATGTATGCTATGCCAGGCATAGCGAAGCATTTCCTCGACAATAGTGATCATTTCGTTGCCCTTGACCAGTTCTTTGCCTCCTCCACTCTCCAGTTTGGGAGTCTGGTCTTGCATGCCAGCTTGAAAGCTTCAGGAATAACCTCGCACTAGGCAGGCTGGACTGCAATCCATTAAGCGGCGATTGCCCCAGGGTTGGCTTGACGGGAGAGCACAGAGCATCTTCAACGTGATTTGCCGGCCCTAAGCATTATCTGGGTGGATCCCTGGTCGAGAATCAGGAAGTTCGAGCGCAGGCTTGCATGTGCTTCTTTTTTGGGCAGCCACCGAATCCTGCGCAAATCACGTTGTGCAACGTCGGCTTGATGACAGCACCGGGGTTGCTGCCACTGGGGAAATGTTTCTCTCCAACTTAACAGGCTGACAGGCGATTCTGACCGTTGGAGGAAGTGAGGGAGGAAGAAGGGGGTGGTGGGGGCGAGGGAGGGAGGACCCTCTTTTGGCACGTCATGCTCGGATTCCATGGCATGTTATCGGACACTGTTGGTTCCCTCGTGCTTTCGACGTAGAGTCGGCTTGCCTTAGAACCTAGCTGCTACTTTCTTAGTTGCTTTGAGGTTGCTGGGTTGGGCTAGATCGCTTGTCGCCCAATGAGAGGATTTTGATGTACTTTTGAGGTCTTTGATCACCAGAAAAGTTGATCTATCGCCTTTACCGCCAGGATGAGGCCTGAAAAGGAAGACACAATCTGCATTGACACCGTCGATGGGTATGGACAGGCGGCGGAATGGGACAGGTATCTAGGCAGGTGCTTGCAGGCCAGGCCGAAAGAGGGCGATGGTCGTGAAGTCCTGAAGTCTGAGTCCTGACTAATGGGTGTGTGTGCAGGACGTTTCTTTCTCTCGGGGAAGACGGAGCAAAGGAAAAAAAATAATTGACGAAGCCCTAGCTAGCTAGTCCGGAGTAGGTATGTACAGTACATACAGCAAGCACATTTTGTATATTGTACAGGATGTACTCAGCCCAGGGCCGCCAGATTATCGGTTGGTTAGGTAGGTACAATCAATTGACGACACCTTTAAGCCCCTCTTTTACCCCATTTCCCGTACGTGCGTGTCTGCTGTCACCCGAAAAGCCACTGACTCTTTTTTTTTTTTTTTTTTTCCTCGAATTTTGTTCAGTCTGAATTTCTTGGTCAGGTTTGGGTGAAATTTAAACTACACCGCATTTCCTCGCCAATGATGCAGACGACGTAGTTAGTCTACGCCTCAGGTACCACTGCCTGCCTGAACACTGGACAGTCTAGCCCTCTTTCGGAGAAGCGGGAACATCCCGTGACTGTCGGGGTAAGCTAAACCGAGTTGGGCATCGCGCCGTCAATTCATCTACTCGGACCTCCGCCTCACTGGGTATCGACATGGGCGGTTAGCATCTCTCGTCTGGTCTCTGTCTCTCTCTTGTCGTCGTCACTCTACCTTACCTCCTCTTACCTCCTCTCGCATCGCTGCCCTTCTTTACCGCCATTTCATCTTCTCTCTCCCGGTACGTTCTATCCGTCTATCCTATTTGTCGGCTTTTTTTTCTGTCACTTAGCACTTGGTCCTTCATGTCTTGTGTTCGCCCCCCCCCCCTCATCTAAACACCCCTGTTTGAAGTTGGCTCCCAGTTCACCTCGTGTTTTTCTGCTTACGTCGTCGGTTTAGGCTACCTCCTTCCGAACCTTTTCGCCATCTGTATTGCCGGCCTGAGCCGCCCCTCGCGAGCAGAAATCCGGCCCTCAACGATCGATAAACCACCGTGGCTGTTAGCCTATTCTGCACGACGACCTGATTTTGAAATTCCCCAAATTCTGAAACCCGTTGGGCTCTTCTCCAGCCATGTCTGAGTCAACCGGCGCCAATACCGCGAAACCGAGCAGCAGCGTCAAGCTGGTACTTTTGGGAGAAGCGGCGGTTGGAAAGGTATGAGCGACCTCGGCAGTTTCCGCCATCCTCCTGTTCTCCGTTCGTGAGACGAGAAAAAAGTGACTCCGGGACTGACAATGGATCGGTATGAATCGTTTTCGGGCTTGACAGTCGTCATTGGTGCTGCGATTTGTCAACAATGACTTTCAAGAGAACAAGGAGCCAACAATTGGAGGTAAGCATCCGACGTGTGGCGATGCCCCCCTCACCCCCGAACAGCCTCCCCGCGGTGTCACCGGAAGCTGATGTCATGGGATTCTTCTCGGTTTCAGCGGCCTTTCTGACCCAAAAATGCTCCCTTCCGACGCGGACGATCAAATTCGAGATCTGGGATACCGCTGGTCAGGAGCGGTTCGCCTCGCTTGCGCCCATGTACTACCGTAACGCCCAGGCGGCTTTGGTGGTTTACGATGTCACCAAGCCGTCCTCACTCACCAAGGCTAAGCACTGGGTGGCGGAGCTTCAACGACAGGCTAGCCCCGGCATTGTCATCGCCCTCGTCGGCAACAAGCTGGACTTGACAAATGACGCGAACGAGGCGGCTGGCGAGGCGCAGGCCGAGGGGGAACACGAGCCATCCCCCGCCGACGGGGACGAAGCCACCGAGGAAACCCAGGAGGAACCAGATGTCTCGAACGGAGACGCTCGAAAGGTGCCGACCCGGGAGGCTAGCGCCTACGCGGAGGACGAAGGCCTATTGTTCTTCGAAACCAGTGCCAAGACCGGTCACAACGTGGTCGATGTCTTCACTGCCATCGCCAATGCGATCCCGGAGAGCAGCTTAAAGAGCGGCCGCGGTGCCGGCGCCGGCACTGGACAGACCAGCCTGAGCGGTGGTCGCCCGGCCGAGGACTCGCGGGTCAACCTGGGAGAGCGCGGCGCGGCGACGGCCAAGGAAGGGTGTGCATGCTGATACCAGATTGCTTTTTTTATGGGCGTCCTGCGATTTGCCTTTGTTCGTCTCTTGCTTGACTATTTTGCTTTTCCGATACAATATCAGGTTGATTACAGATTAATGTGTTCATCCTATGGCGGTGGTAACAGCGACCGCTCTGGGAGGGCTGGTTCTACGGTGTGCGCCCGCGTTCCTTGCAGCGTCTGAAGAGTTTATTCGTGTTGATGGATGCGCTACCAACGGTTGTTTTTCTCAGCTTATTGTTTTGTACTGTTGCGTCAGAGAGTGACGAGGGCATGATGGGGGATGTTGTTGTACAGATGAGAGAATAAGGGCGGATTAGGGTTAGGGTGAAAGTGATCAATCGACCGGAAATACCAGCCGTGTATCCTAACGAACTGTGAATCGAGCTAAACCATAGCCAAGCCATAGTCCAAGGCGTATGGGATCTATATCTATCTATCTTTAGTCTGTGATGGATACTGCAGAGACACTAGATAAGCAATAGCGATAGGACAGCGATAGCGATAAGTTGGCGGGGAAGACAGGATGGGAAGGGCGAGACAGATCACGGGACCGGGCCACCCCTAACTAGACCGGATGTGGAATAAGGCGGCCGGCTAAGCGAGAGCGCCGAGCCTCCGATCCCACAGCCGACCCAAGCGCAAATTGGGTCGCTGCTTGCCCGGTATCTTCGATTTCAACCACCAACCTCACGACAAGGAAGGCAGCAACCACCTCTCCTCCTAGCAGCACAGCCAGCAACCCGTCGCTCGTCTGCAACAATGGCTGCCATCAACAAGATCGCCCTTAACTCGCCCTCGAGGCAGAACCCCTCCGAGCTGGAGACCGCGATCGCCGGTGCTCTTTTCGACCTCGAGAGCAACACACAGGACCTGAAGGCCACCCTTCGGCCCCTGCAGTTCGTCTCTGCCCGTGAGGTAAGGACTGTCTTTGTGTGATCTTACAAGCGCTTTGTGGTATCCGCCAGCAGATCAGCAATTGTTCCAGTCCGTCGTCGTCGCCATGTCCGGAAGAGGAGGAAATTTTTTTCTGTTTCGTCAACAATGGGGTGGAAAACCGAACTGTGTGTGCGTGTGTGCGGAATGCGGAGATACGGCATAAAGAACAAGGACTACGAAACACAACACCCAACACGCCGATTTTACTATGAATTGGATGTGTTCTGCGGATCTCTGTTCCTCCCACATTGGAAATTTCGAAATGGGGAGCACATCGACTTAACATGGGAAAGTCGGAACAAGACATCGCGGACGACCGGATCGACTAATCTGCTGCGCTGGATATCGCGAATGCTTGCTTTGCTCTTTTCTGCGATGTTGCTCTCTCTCTCTCTCTCTGCAATCTGGTATTGACGATTTCTTTCGTGAATTTTGCAGGTTGAGGTTGGTCACGGCAAGAAGGCCGTCATCATCTTCGTCCCTGTCCCTCTTCTCCAGGGCTTCCACAAGATCCAGCAGCGGTATGGGATATCCTTCCTTTGTCTTTGCCCACGCTTCATCTAGCGATTCGGATGTGCCCAGTGCGCGTTCGAGTATATGATGATGTCCTGTTCTCTCGTCAACACCCGGGATTGCGTGGTCACGAAACACCAGAACAACCCAACTAACAGCCGCCTCCAGCCTGACCCGTGAGCTCGAGAAGAAGTTCTCCGACCGCCACGTCCTCTTCGTTGCTCAGCGCCGCATCCTGCCCCGCCCCAAGCGCTCCGTCAACTCCCGCACCACCCAGAAGCAGAAGCGCCCTCGTTCCCGCACTCTGACCGCCGTCCACGACGCCGTCCTCAGCGACCTCGTCTACCCCGTCGAGATTGTCGGCAAGCGCATCCGCACCAAGGAGGATGGCTCCAAGACCCTCAAGGTCATCCTTGACGAGAAGGAGCGTGGTGGTGTTGACCACCGCCTCGACGCCTACGGCGAGGTCTACCGTCGGTTGACCGGCCGTGCTGTTGTCTTCGAGTTCCCCCAGGGTGGTGCCTCTGACTACTAGACCGCGAAATTCTTTTTTCCATAATGCATCTTCTTTTTTTCCAAACCCCTTTATGAAAAAAGAAACCAACATGTTGTTTTAAAGAATCTGGTCTGGGAAAATCAGGATTAACAGGGAATTCAAATATGATGGCTGTGTTGTTGTGAGGACAACTTTTAAAAGATCTTTCTAAAAAACGAAACATTACTTCAAACTCCAACTCTCCTAACCAGCCGGCGGTTCCATGCCAAATGCCAATTCCCAATTGCCCAAATGCCAACCAATCGGGAAGCTTTTTTATCTAGATTGGAGGAATCTTCAATCTTCACATAAAGATCGATCATCCTTCTACCTAGTACTTCCACTTCCACTTCCCCCCATACACTCACTCCTATTCCTCCAGTATACGTATCTGGGGGAGAACCACCAGACCCCCCTTTCTTTCAGCCTCCCCAGTAACCTCAATCCCAAATCCAACAATAATATAACTATCTAAACATCCCACTTCCACTTCTCCATATACCCACTCCTATGTACACTTTATAATAAACATATCTGGGGGAGAACCCCCAGACCCCCCTTTCTCTCAACCTCCCCAGCAACCTTAGCCCTGATTCCAACAACAACATAACTACCTGGACATCCCACTCCACTTCCCCTTCCCCATACCCTCACCCTTATACATATTTTATAATATAAATATCTGGAAGAGAACCTCCAGACCCCCCTTTCTTTCAACCTCCCCAGTAACCTCAGCCCTAACTATAATAATAGTATAAATATCTAAACATTCTACTTCCACCTTCATACCCTCACCCCTATGAGTATAATATAAATATCTGAAGAAGAACCCCCAGACCTCATTTTTTAACCCTCCCAGTAACATCAGCCCTAATCCTAATAATAATATAACTACCCGGATATTCTACTTTTCTATACACCCACTCCTATTCCTCCAGTATACTATAAATATCTAGGGAAGAACCCCAACCCCCACAGTAAAAACACCGAAATAGCAAAGACGGAACTTATATCCCCGAGTCCGGTCCGATTCGGTTCGGTGAACTCCCAACCCCAACCTGAGATCCGGCCCAAGCCCCCAACCAACATTGGTGTTTAGTTGGTGGTTGGGTCGAGCTGGAGGGTAAGTGCTGTAGACTGCATTTCTGGATTACTCCTTTGTGTGCTGTGTGTGTGCTGTGCGCAGCTCTGTATGTGCATGTGCGGTAAAGATGTTTCCCGTTGGCTGGCTGTGGCTGGTTTCTTCGGTCCGCTTGGGTTTTCTTTGGGTCCCCGCCGTTGTATACTGGGTCTGGGTGTGGACTGGGCGAGTACCGGTTATTTTGGATGGAGTGGTGTGGGTGGATGGTTATTGCGTTCATTTGTGATGATAAGACTTTTGGGGGGGTGGGGGAGGGGAGGGGGCATTGTTTTGTTTTGTGGGGGGTGGTGTGCTGTACTTTAGGAGGAATAGTTCGCGGCGGGATATATTTCCAGGCGATTAGTGGATGTATGGATGTTTGTACTGCACACTCCTACACAGGATGATAATTCTTACATACTGAGTAGAGTGGGACGTAAAGTAATGTGAAGTCTTGATTCATCTTCCCTACTACCGAATCCAAGTGATGCTCAATCAACGGTAGTATAGTATATCTACACCTACCCACACTCATCATCAAAATCAACTCAAAACACTCGGATCAATCCTCCCCACCCCGAGCACCATCCAATACGCCAACTCCCTCTTGACCATCTCGCCCGCGGCACTGACGCCGGGCCGATCGATCTGGTTCTCCGAATCCCACTCCATGCGCACGAACACCGGGATCTCGAGGACATCCTCGTCTGGTTGGAGCTGTTGCTGTTGCTGCTGCTGTTGCTGCTGCTGCATCTCCGCCGCCTGGCCAGTCCAATCTGGTGCCTGTCCGCCAAAACTGCTGGTGTCGCTGTCGCTGTCGCTGTCATTGCCCGTAGTTTTGCTATGTGTTGTGCGCGGGGCCTGATCCCTGGATTGCAGGGTCACACCGCTACTGCCGGACGGCAAAGTCCCCGGTACCACCTCTAGCACCACGGTCGTCCAGTTGCGGCCCTTGTCCCACACTTTGCCGGCCTCGGCGACCTTCTCGAACATCCCGAGGTGACCCCCGGGTGCGGCCGTGGTGGCTGTGGCGGGTGCGGCACCGGAGCGGGAGGAGCGTTGGTCGGCTGTTGCATTGCTGCCGGTACCACCACCTGCTGCAGCTGCACCAGCTGCAGTGGTATTGCCCTGCAGGGCCTCGTCCCACACGTCGCTGTTGGCGCCGATGTCGAACTGCGGACAGAGAATGGTGACCTTGGAGGCCACGCGGCCCGGGGTCACGGACGGGGTGGCCAAGGTGATGCGGACGGGGTCAAACATGTGATTCTTGAGGGTGAGCAGCAGCTGGGTGGGTCGCAGGGGCGGAAGGGCGTCGAGGTTCATGCCGGGAGCGCTGCCGCTGGTCACACCCGCGGCGGGTGGCGGGACCAACGGCCGGAGGGTCGGTAACGGGATGTAGCTGAGGGCGATCAGACGGATGCGGAACCGGGTGGACTGCGGCTTCTGCTCGGGCTTGACGAGGATATGCTTGCACGACTTGCAGCGTTTGGCGCGCTTGGTGCGCAGCAGCGTGGCCAGCGGCAGGAGCTCCTCCACGAACCGCGCGTCCGGCGACTGGAAGACGCGCTGCTCGAGCGAGGCCAGTCCGTCCCAGCCGCACTCGTCCGCCGCCATGCGCTGGATGAGGACGGCTTCCGCGTCGGCCGCCGGTGTCTTGAACCCCTCGCTCGCGGTCAGCGCCTCGCGCATGACCGGCGGTTTCGTCTTGGGCTTCTTGCTGGCGCCGCCGTAGAGGCTGCTGAGGCGGGACGAGGAGGTGTACAGCGACATGATGCGGTTCAGGGCCCCGGGGGAGGAGAAGCCCGCTCCGAAATCCACGCCGAGCGGATCGCTGGGCGAGGACGAGGTGGCCGAGATTTGGGTTTTGTAGAAGCTCTTGAGTGCGTGGAAGCGCGCGTCCGGGCTGAGGGGGCCGTTCGACTGGTCGGGCGAATCGTCGGGGCGTGCTTCGCCGGGCGCCGGGGGGAATTGCTCGTCGATGGAGGAGAAGGTGGACAGGGGCGACTTGAGGTCTGCGAATGTGCGCGACATCTGCCGCGAGCGGGAGGGGTTCGTGTCGGTCGCCGTCAGCTTGGCCAGCTGGGTGCGGATGTTGGTCGGTTTGTCGAACTTGATGCCGATGTCGAGCGTCGACCACATGCAGTAGCCGCACGACAACACCCAGGGGCCTTGTTGACTGGTGCCGCCGCGGACGACGTTCTCGAGGGTATTGACCGCCAGCGGTGCGGTGCAGGCCGGGCAATTGAAGCAATTGCGTGCACACCTTGCAGTCGTCAGTTTCCGGATCCGAAGAGGAGGTGGTCAGACATACCGATTCCCCTCACTCTTCACCATACTGCTCGGCGTCTCGAACAGGCAGTTCGGACAGTACCAGCACACGATCTCCTCGGTGATGCATCGCGGACATTTGATCTGGTGGCAGTCCTCGCAGTAGAGGAGGTGCTCTGGGGGATAGAGGGATAAGTTGGAGCGAGGGGCGCGCGGATCGAAGGTCTGTTCGTCCTCGCTGTCGTCGAAGCGCGGCGGCGGTTTGGGCTGGTCGGGGTGATGGCTGCTGGCCTTCTGCGGGGATTCTCGCGAGCGGCGTTTCTTGGACGGATCCGGGACGGGAGTGTTGGCGCAGGGACAGGAGATGTATGCGTAAGGGAAAGGACGCGACATGATGGGAGTCTAGGAAGTGGTCTATAATAATGCTTGCATGCTATGTCATGGTCAGTTGGGAAGATGCGACAAGCGACAATTAGGGGAGGCATACTCATACCTTGACGGGGAGATATTGCACGAACGAGTCAGAACGCTAGACTCAATCAGATGCTGCTATTCATAACCTGCTCATGATGTGGCTAAGATGCAGACAACACACAGGGACAAAGTAGGAAGGAAATAAAATGAGGGGGAACACGCCCGAGGCAGCGAAACGACCGAGAAAGAGGAAAGGAAAGGCAAGGCAAAATGCGGAGGAGGGCCGATCTTCCGCCCCGACGTCACGTTCCGCCTCCGCCGTGGACTTTTTGCCCGCCTGGACAATCCAATCTGTCTTCCAACAACCTCAGCCATCGCCCAATTCCTTGAAAAGAGAGCTGGGGCATCATGTCTCTACACCAATTGATCCGACCAGTGGTGCGATCGCGCATCCCCACCACCACCACCACCACCACAATCCCTGCAACAGCATCATCATGCTGCCTCCCCCCGCGGCGCAACTACGCCATGCAGACGCCCGGCAACCCAGTGATGGAGATCTTCAACCGACGAGTCAAGCACCTTCAGAAGGAGCGGGCGGCGCAGAACGTCGACGAGAGCCGAAAGACCGATTACCTCAAGGATGAAGTGGCGATGCGATTATGTGAACGATTGCTGGTGAGGCTGCCACAAACCCCCCCCCCCCCCCCATCCACCCACCAACCACTCTATGCCTAACTCGGCCATGCAACAACTAGGACATCAAACGCACCTTCCCACAAGTCCTGGACCTCGGCGCAAACAGCTGCAACATCGCGCGGGCGCTGACGACCCCACTCCCGGACGAGACCTCGCCCACCGGCACCGCCGAAGCGCTGGCCCACCGCATCTCGCACCTGACCTGCATCGACACGAGCGCGGCGCTCCTGAACCGCGATCTGGCCCTCCCCTTCAACTCCTCCCTCCCGATCACGCGCCAAGTGGTGCCGGACCTGGAAACGCTCCCCTACGCCGCGAACAGCTTCGACGCGGTCCTCTCCTCCCTCAGCATCCACTGGATCAACGACCTGCCCTCCCTCCTGGCGCAGGTCAACAAGATCCTCAAGCCCGACGCGCCCTTCATCGCCGCCATGTTCGGCGGCGACACGCTCTTCGAGCTGCGCACGTCGCTGCAGCTCGCGGACCTGGAGCGGCGGGGCGGGGTGAGCCCGCATGTTTCGCCGCTGGCGGACGTGCGGGACGTCGGCGGGTTGCTGAACAAGGCCGGGTTCAAGATGCTGACGGTCGATGTGGAGGATATCGTGGTGGAGTTTCCGGATACGTTTGCGCTGATGCGGGATCTGCAGGCGATGGGGGAGGGGAATGCGATCCTGCATCGGGAGATGGCGCCGCTGTCGCGCGAGGTGCTGTTGGCCAATGAGGCGATCTATCGGGCGTTGCATATGGAGGACGGGGCGAGGGGGGTGCCGGCGACGTTTCGGTTGATCTACATGATTGGGTGGAAGGAGGGGGAGGGCCAGGCGAAGCCGTTGGAGAGGGGCAGTGGGCAGTTGAACTTGAAGGATATTCTTGGGGGTGGGGATTTTGAGCAGAAGTGATCATTCTTGTCTGGGAGTGTGTTGTATGATATAGTCCCAAAACAAAAAGAGGCGCACAATATATACGGTCAACTTGGCACTGACGATGAAAATATGAGGTATAGGTATAGCCTCATCGCTCTCCCATTCTTACCACAAAGTATTAACAAAAAAAAAACTAAACAGTCCTCCGATCCGTCATCACCCGCACAATCGACCCCGTCCCCACCAACTCCACCAACTTCTCATGCCAGCTCAACAGCACACTCATCTGCTGTCCGCCGCCCCCCTCGCCCAGATTGCGGCCCTGGATCTGCGAGAACCCCGTACTCTGCGGGGAGACGGATTTGCGGGGGGTTTGCGCGGAGACGGGGGAGGCCATGCCTTTGTAGCTGGACACGGAGAAGTAAACATGGGTTAGCCGGACGATCTCGCCAATGCATCTCAACACTCAATGCTTTTCTTTGTGAATGATAAAAAGACTCAGGACACGTACAGATACTTCATCAAACAGTCGGCGCGCTCGGCCCCGCCGTCCTGGCCGGTGCACACCCCCTCCAGCACGCGGCTCATCTCCGCCTGCCGGATGCCCTGCAACACCTCGGTCACGGCCGCCAGGTGCACCTCCTTGGCGCGCTCGTCGCCGCCCAGGGGCGCCGTGTCCAGCACGTGCCGCAGCGCCGCCGCCGGGTCCCCGCCGCGCAGCAGCTGGCGCACCTCGCCGGCCACGGCGGCGGCCGCGCTCGAGGTCGTCGGCGCCGGCAGCGTCGCCGGCAGCAGCGTGTCCATCGGAAAGTTGATCGAGGCGTCGGGGTCCAGGACGTCGATGTTGATTGTGCGGTAGTTGAGTTGGGACATTTTGGTTCGATTTTTGATTTCGATTTCGATTTCGGGGGTTGGTTGGGAGGGGTTGGGTTGGGTTGGTTTGGTTCGGGTGGGGTTCGATGGGTTGTTTGAAATTGGATCGGGTTGTTGATGATGATGGTTTAGCTGAGGATCGTGGGATTTTCTGTGGGATTGTTGGTTAGTCTTGGTAGTTGAGGGGGTAATGGATGGTCGTTGGTGGTGGGAGACAGGCAAGGAGACAGCTAAGGCATCGTCATTGCCCTCCAGGCTGATGGGGGTTCCGCGGGGAAAGGGAATTGGACACCGTGGTTGGGTTGGGGGATTGGTTGGGACAAACCTCAAACTAGAGTGGGGTAGCTGGGTGACAAGAGGCAAGCGCTGGCCGATCGTCAATGGGAAGCTGTAAAAGCCACTGCCACAAATAACAAGACAATAAACAGTGAGAGTGAGAGTGGGAGTGAGCTGGAGATGAGCGGGTACGGAGAGTAGCAGGAGGGAGAGAGAAAGGGAGGCGGGCCCGGAAGTGGCGGTGCGGAGGACCCCGTCGGCCTGACCGCCTGAGGCAGCCGTTTAGTTGGAGAACTATACAGAGTACACACTCCCAAGGTTCTATTGCTGAGCTTGGTTCAAAGGATCAGTTTCCATTGCTGAATCTGGTCTAGGTATCATAATTCTCTATTGTACAGTAGATGTTGTAGTTGTAGTAGTAGTAGCAACGCTAGAACGCTCAAGAAAGCCTCCCTCCCAAAGTACAAGTACAAACACAAGCAAGCCACCCCATAAAAAACATAGCAAGGCAGGAGTAGAGGCACAGTCGAGTGGCTGCACCGGTCATTATTCCATGAAATTCATCAAGAGGTCGTGATGGTGATTGGAGGCACCGGGATCGGGGTAGATGGTGCCTCAGGAGTTGACTCTCGTTTGAGATCCTGCAACGACGTCGTGCCCGCCTCTTCGTCCGGCAGGGCCTCGGCCTCGGCCTCAGCAGTAGGATCCGCGTCCCGGCGCCGGGAGAAAACACGCTTCGTCGTCCGCGTGAGGGGCCGCACGGCGGATCTGACACCCGCGGCCAGCCATCCCATCGCCCGAGTGATGGGCTTCGTGATAAAGGTAATGCAGCGCACGGCGAAGTTCAGCGCAATCTCGCAGGGTCTGTCGGGGATCAGGCGCAGCACCACCGCCCAAGGCAGACAGCCCAGAGCGCAGGCGATGCAGATCGCCCACTGCACCCCATTGAGCCGGGTGACACCGAAGGCCTCGCCGCCCACAAACACGATCATGATCTGCCCGCCGACCATGATGCAGTTGATCCCGAGGAACCAGTAGTTGCGGAACATGCCCTCGAAGATGTTGAGCTTGTTGTCGAGCCGTCGGTTGTTGAACTCGTTGAAGATCTGCATCCAGACGAACGTGTTGAACACGATCGTGTCCAGCACCAGTTGAGGGTTCTTGCTGCCCAGCTGGGAGCCAATGATGTGCCTCCCGCCGAAGTACAGCATGAAGGTGATGGCGAGTTGATAGAGGGCCTGGCCCAGAATCATCTTCCACATGATCACGGTGAACAGAGACGCACTCTTCGGCACCGGCTTCCGATCGAGGATCTTCTCCGTCGGCGCATCGGTCGCCAAGGCGAGCGCGGCGAACGTGTCCATGATCAGGTTCACCCAGAGGAGCTGCACCGCATTCAAGACACTCTGGTTATCGCTGCTGGACAGCGAGGACACAAAAGTCAGAATGACGGCAGTGATGTTGACGGTGATCTGGAACTGGAGGAACTTGGCCACCGCATCGTTGACGGCACGACCCCAGGCGATCGCAGTGACAATCGATTTGAAGTTGTCGTCGAGCAGAACGATGGAACTAGCCTCCTTGGCGACTTCCGTGCCTGCAATGCCCATGGAGAACCCAACATCAGCTGTGCGCAGCGCCGGCCCGTCGTTTGTGCCGTCTCCAGTCACAGCGACGGTTTCGCCGAGTTTCTTGAGCCGGGCGACCAGGATCCGTTTATCCTCGGGCGACGAGCGTGCCAGCACCTGAAGGCGCGGGATCACTCGATCCATCTCGTCGTCGGACAGTTGCCGGAACTTGGGGCCTTCCATGACGATCCCCTCTTCAGTCTTGATGCCACACGAGGAAGCGATGGCGCTGGCAGTGACAAGATTGTCGCCAGTGACCATCTTGACTTGCACGCCGGCCGCATGACACTTGCGAATGGCAGCTGGAACCTCAGGTCGAAGGGGGTCCTGAATGCCAACCACCCCGATCCAGGTCACGTCCTGGAAGACATCATCAAACACTGCAGACTCGGGCTCGTCCTCCATGCGTCGGACGCCGTGGGGCGGCCAGCTTGGGAAATCGCGATACACCATGCCGATAGTCCGTAGCGACTGGCTTGCATACGACTCAATCAGTGCCAGAGTCTCCTGCTTCTCGTGCTCGTGCAGCGCGTCGATGCCGAGCCCGTCTTTGCTGGAATCCTTCTCAGTGACGTGGGTAGCGCACGCACCCGCCATGATTTCGGCGGCGCCTTTGACAAGGAGGCGATAGCCAACAGCGGGCTCGCGATAGACCACAGCCATGCACTTGCGCGCCGAATCGAAGGGGAAGAGCTGCACAATCTCCGCCGAAGCGCGTTCGAGCGTCACGTCCATGCCAAGATGGTCTTTAGCCAGTTGTAGCAATGCTACTTCGGTCTTGCTGCCGATGAACTGCTTCTGTCCGTCCTTCTCCTCCTCAAAGGCGGTGGAGTTCAGCGCAACGCTTTTAGTGACCAGGTCACGCAGCCTGCTGGAGCTCTGCTTGAAAAGCTCGGCGGCCGTATAGCCTGGAGCGCTATCGTCCACATTCTGGCTGAAACTCCTAGTGGCGAGCGTCCCGGCGACCACGGTCATCTTGTTCTGCGTGAGTGTTCCTGTCTTGTCCGAGCAGATGACGGTCGCGTTGCCCATGGTTTCACAGGCCCGGAGAACGCGGACTAGATTGTTCTCCTTGACCATGCGGGTGGTAGCGAAGGCGAGAGCGAGGGTTACCGCAAGTGGAAGACCCTCTGAGATACCGAATCAGTACGAGTTTCCGAGGTTCTGGACCGAGGTACTTACCAGGAATAGCAACGACAATAACCGTCACAGCCACAATAAGAATGTCGACAAATTCTTTGCCCTTGACGGCGGGTGAGCCGCTGTTGTGCGGGAGGTCCGCGACGAAGCGGAAGAACAGAGCAAAGAATAGAATGATTGCAGCGCTGATGCCATTAGCCAACGAAAACATTTGTTTAGAAGGGGATCTTCGCTCTTACCCTGAGCCCAACCAACCGATCCAGTTAGCAAGCTTGCCCAGTTTGACCTGCAGCGGAGTTTGATCGTCCGAGTCTTGCAAGGACAGCAGGATCCTGCCATAGGTCGAGTAGGGCCCGACACTGGTCACAAGATACGTGCCCACTCCTTCGAGCACCTTGCTGCCGGAGATCAGGAAGGGATCGAGTTTCTTCGTCGCCGTCCCGGCGGCGAGGTGTCGGCCGACTTCATACCCATCGGTCTTCTTCATCTGGTCCGATTCGCCGGTCGCCGAAGACTCGTCACATTTCACCCCGTGGCCCGAGATCAGCACCCCGTCCGCCGGGATGGAGTCGCCCGGCTCGAGGTGCAGGACATCTCCCACCGTGATGTCAAAGATGGAGACCATGGAGACCTTGCCCGAGCGGACGGCCTTGACCTCTCGGTCGTTGTTCTGCCGCAGTCAGTCGATGTTCATTTCAGAAAAACGAGGGCGGGCACTTACTCGTTTGTTAAGTTTGGCAAACTGCCTCTCCTTCTGCCAGTCATTAGCGGCCGTCACAATCGTGACGATCAAGATCGCCACACAGATCGCCACGCCTTCGATCCAGTCCACGCCGCTCCCTTCGCTGGTCGTCTCATAGATCCCGAGCGACAACGAGACGACGGCGGCGATGGTCAACAGGATGATGATCTTGTCGTTGTAAGCACGCCAAAACAAGGTCAGAAAGCCCGTCGACTTGCGAGCGGGCAGTCGATTCTGGCTGAAGACGCGAATGCGGTCCTGGAACTGTGCATCCGAGCCCGAAGATGCCGTATGGCGAGCCGGTTCTGACGGCGGCTGCACTACTTGCTGCTCTTTCTCCCGCTGCTGGTGGTGGTGTTGATGCTCGTACTTCGTCGCGCCACACCCGGAAGAAGTCGCGGCTGCTTCTTCAAAACTCACCGACCCGTCCAGCACGGTCTCATCCACCGACAACCCCGAGGCCAGATCCGTACGCAAGCCGCGTTCCAGCCCCGCGAGCCCGCCCAGGGCCTGGAACGCCGCCAGCGACTTGGGGTTCTGCATCTTGTTGAGCTGGCCCGGCGAGAAGGCGAACTTGTTATCTTGGACGACAAAGTCCCCCTCTGTGCGCGGATCCGGGTTGAGCGCCTCGGACAGCGAGACATCATCGTAGGCTGCCGCTGCTGTCGCCTTGGTCGGCACGGCGGTCAGCTCCGAGTTGGCTCGGGATCTCACGGCCGTGTCGGCGCTGGAGATGGTCGAGTCTGCGCGGGACCGCAGCGTCTCGCCGTCCAGGGAACGCGACGTTCGGGGAGTGCTGCTGTGCTGCTGCTGCTGCTGCTGCTGCACCATGAGTCTGTCGGGTGACAGTGTTGCGCCGGCGTGGGCCATCTCGAATGGCGTAGATGGACTCAGGTGTTGTCCTGAGTCCGAGGAATGTGGACGTTGCTGCTGCTACCATCTCTATCAACATATACTCCCGATGATGATGACAGTGAGGGGGGGGGGGACAAGCGGCAAGCTTGCCGCCGTTGGCAACGTACCTCTCTATCTGAAACCCCGAATGGGTTGAGAAACTCGGCCTGACGATGTTCTTCGTCTGAAGGCTGCATTAAAGTGATCGACGCAGACTCTGATTTGACAGGGAAGGCAGTGAAGCATGCATCAAAAGAAAACCAGGGGAGGGGAGTAAATTCGGAAGAGATTCAGGTGTCTTGCGGGCTAATTGCCTAAAACTGGTTGTAGGGTCTGGTTTGGTTTCCTTTGTTGTTGTTGTTGTTGTTGTAGTCAGAGAAATGGGGGCCAACGCCTGGGTATAAGAGTGGGAAATCGGTAGAAAGGCTGTGCTGCGAAACTGAACGTAATCAGAGAAAGGTGGTTCAGCACTGCGAATGCTTGGTCCAGAACACCCCCGGGCATTGCTGAAGGCAATAATCTCCGCCAAGGTACAATACAGTTAAGTACAGTTATGTCGTTGGGAGACGGATGAAAGCGCTGGAACGGGCCAAGGGAAGTCTAAACAACGGGAAGAGGGGCGCAGCAACAGAGCGATCCATAGGAAGTGGAAGTGGGGAGGGGGAGAGAAGGAGAGTGAATGAGGGGAGGGGGTATGAGTACTGCTGGGTAGTAGTGATAGAGGATTGAATGATGGATGAGTCTCCGTCTCTCAGTCATTCTGCAGCTTTACACAGCCACGCTGCCGCCCTCCTATCACAACCCTTCTGGTGGAGGCAAACAATCCCTCTCGCGGCGGTTAATTCTATCAATTCCATGGCTACACCGATTCAATTCGCACTGGCACTTGACGTGGATTGTAAATCATAAATTATTGATTATTGGCGTTCCTTTTTCTTTTTTTTTGCTTTTTTGTTTTTTTCCTTTTCGTCTTTTATCTCCTCGCCTTTCAGCCGTCGACTTCTTTGCCTCCCTCCCATTGCGCCGTCCATTTGCCGCTTGAAGTACTCCGTATCTTGGAACAAGATCCAGTCAGGTGATTCCCTTCTCCCTCACTTCGACAGCATGCTCAGAGAGTGGTTGATGATCTCATGCGATCATTGACTGGAAGTGCCTGACCGCCAGCAAGGCGCTTTCACGAGCCCAACTGCTCCATGCCAAGTGCAACCTACCAGAGTTTCACCCCAGAGCAGCCATCAGACCCCACGCAATCCAGCTCAACCTTCGTATTGCCATCGATCGAGTCGCTCGGGGTAGTTTCTGTGCCACCGGCAACTAACCCTCCATTAGCGAGGTCCGTCTCCGCGACGTCCGCCTGAGCTTAGGTTGGCGGACTCGCTAGCCGGAGGCGAAGCAAGGGTTTTGCGACGACAGAAACCGGGATATGTGAGTTATGACTGGAAGAAGTAGCCAAGTGCCAATCATGGCGCGGTCTTATGTGACCGACATTAATCAAATATCGGATTAAACCCATGGATTCCGACGGAGATAAACTACAGCCTGGACCGGTCCAAGGGGGGGGGGGGATGCTCGGTCAGAACTCTGACTTAAGAGCATCCATGAGCTGTGCCGAGTCGCCAATCGCTGTTGACCGTCAGTCGCTAAATTATCTACCAGGGAGCCACTTACGCCGAGACTCAATAGGACTCACGAAGCTGTTGTTTTCTTGGCCTCCAAGCCGCATCTCAAACTCTCCTGTGAAACTATGGGACTCGTCGCGTGCTCGTGTATGATCAAGATAATTGGCATACGTCAGCCCAGGACCATGTCCGTGGGATCATGCAGAGACAGGAGACTGGCACATGGGTCAAAGCATTGCTCTTGTCTCATGTCCTTCGCGGGTTCGACTGAACTGGCCCTGGCGATCATGACTGTAATGTGTCGTGTCTGATGGACACGTGCTCGCCTTGCAAAATCTTCTCGCATATCGGTTGGTGAGGTAATGAGGCTAAGGCCTTGAGGGAATAACTCCAGCGAAAGAATCACCAGAGCTGTGGGTTTCACATAGTGATAGCACTGCCCCAAGGTATGTCGAACATGGTTTCTCAAGCTCAGTACTTGTGTGGCTGACCCAGAGTGCCAGGCATAGGTTGTTGCCCGATGCTTGCCTCATCAAAGTCCATAGACGTGAAGGGCGCCCCTGTCTCTGATCGGTGGCTGATGGTCGATTCCGGTGACACGCATCTAGCACCTTGCAACAACTTGGGGACGACTTCGACGTGACGCGTTCCAATGAGCTGGATACTTTATCCAGGCTGAGCATAATGATGCCAGACATGGCTGTCCTTAGTCACGGTGAGACACATACCAGGGTGGCTGTGCGGAAGGCATTGCTTTGCTGTGTCAGGCAGATCGAGGATCATAAGAGAGTCGGCTGAGGCTCACTCCTAGGTAAGGGAAGTTGGATTGGACAAGTTTCGTTGAGATGCTCTGAAGCATGATACCACTGTGTGCATTTCCACACTACCAGTTACAACAAAGATGTGAAACACCTTTGGCCTTGCTTGTGGCTTGGTGCGTATCAAGTTGCAGCGTCACGCCGATTGGATAAGACTATTGCTTTCTCGAGCCATGAACTGGCTGTCGTGGAGAGCAAAAGGAATTCATAGTCGAGTAACACTTGACCCCCCATCTGTGTTTCTGCAAGGGCATATGCAAGCAGTGTCTGGAGTGTAGGATAGCAAGACAATTGTGCCAGTGGAGGGGGACGGGGTCTCTGCCAGAGACTTAACTAAGCACTGCTGATTTGAATCCATGATGGGCAACGGCCACCTTGACGATGACGAGTCAGGAACATCCAGTCAACTGGTCAAGCCACCGCGATCGCGAAGTGCGGTCCGATCAAACTCCGCAATTCAAACCCGCTCGAAGGCCAAGCAAAAAAAAATGCACAAACTATGACGAGGATCCAGAAGCATAACCCATAATGAAATGAACAAATCAGCAGTACTGATCGGACCAGCCGACAAAACGAAGCACGTCAGTTGCCAATCCTATCAGCCGGGATGGTCCGCCACCGGAAGCGGAAATCAAATTCCAGCAGGTCCAGTCCTGCAGAAAGGCGGGAACCGTTGAAGCATAAAAAAAATATGCCGAGGCCCGTTCGTTCAAGTGATATCATTAGAGGAAGTGGATAGAAGAGAAAGGTGTGTGCAAGTGGATCCTCGACAACTTTTTCAGGAAGCTCTGCTCCGTCCTTTCCCCCCTGATTGATCTGCCCTTCGGCTTAGAAATACAAAATGTTAACTATAATATGGGTTGCTTAACAATGCTCTAATCATTGGGGGGAGAATCACACCTTACTATAAGTTGAATTCCCTCCGCAGTACTGTTCTAACTCTTTATACAACAACACATTGCATTTGCATTGTACATACAGTCCTTAATTTTCATACACGTAATCATATTGTCCTCCTGTCCAAAATGTCACAAACAGGCACCCCCGTCGACGTCACCCCCCTGGCGCAACCGCTGCCGTTCGAATTCTCGCGGCGCCGCGCGCCCAACCGCTTCCTCAAGGGGGCGATGAGCGAGCGCCTGTGCTCGTGGTCGGTCGACGACCTCGCCGCGCGCGGCATCCCCTCAGACGAGCTGATTGAGGCCTACCGCGTGTGGGGCGAGGGCCAGATCGGGCTCATCCTGACGGGCAACGTGATGATCGACCCGGCGCACCTCGAAGCCCCCGGCAACCTGATCATCCCCGCGGACGCCCCCTTCGAAGGGGAGCGGTTCGCGCGCTTCCAGCAGCTGGCCGCCGCGGCCAAGACCCCGCGGAACTCCTCGCTGGTCGTCGCGCAGGTCAGCCACCCGGGCCGCCAGACGCCGGCCGCCCTGCAGCCGCACCCGATCAGCGCCAGCGACGTGCAGCTGGAGGGGGTGGTGCTGGGGAGCACATTCGCCCAGCCGCGCGCGGCCACGGAGGCCGACATCCAACAGGTCATCGAGGGGTTCGCGCACGCGGCCGAGTACCTGGAGAAAGCCGGCTACGATGGCATCCAGCTGCACGGCGCCCACGGGTACCTCCTAAGCCAGTTCCTGTCCGAGACGACCAACCGCCGCACCGACCGGTACGGTGGCTCCCTGGAGAACCGCATGCGTCTGATCTTGGAGATCCGCGCGGCGATCGCGGAGCGCGTGCGCCCGGATTTCATCGTGGGGATCAAGGTGAACAGCGTCGAGTTCCAGCCCCACGGCTTCCAGCCGGAGGAGGCGCGCCAGCTGTGCCGCACGCTGGAGGACCACCGGTTTGACTTTGTCGAGCTGTCCGGGGGCACCTACGAGAACTGGAAGATGGGCGATGACGAGGGCGAGAAGCGCGAGTCCACGAAGAAGCGTGAAGCTGTAAGTTCACCCTCAAAAGAAATCTGACCAATTGACTAACCTCGAAAAAAAAAAGTTCTTCATGGACTTCGCCCAGATGATCGTCTCCTCCCTCAGCAAGACCAAGTCCTACCTGACCGGCGGGTTCCGGACGGCGGAGGGCATGGTCCACGGCCTTGAGACGCTGGACGGCATAGGTCTGGCGCGCCCGCTCTGCCAGGAACCGTACCTGTGCCGGGATATTCTGAGTGGCAAGGCGACCGGGGCGCTGCGGCAGGTCATCAACCCCTACGACTTCGGGCTGACGGCCGTGGCGGCGTGCATCCAGATCCGGCAGATGGGGCTGCGGTTGGCGCCAATCGACCTGAGCGACAAGCAGCGCGCCGACCAGCTGGTGCAGGCGGTGGTGGCCCGGACGCAGCAGAAGGGCAAGGACTTCTCGCAGGAGGCCGTCTGGCCGCCGCTGATCCCGGATTATAATGTGCCTTTGGCTGTGGAGGCTTGATTTGAGAGTTAGACTAGACTAGACTACTACTACTACTAACTACTACTACTACTACTACTACTACTACTACTACTACTACTACTACTACCACTACTACTACTACTACTACTACTACTACTACTACTACTACTACTATACTAAGCAAGGATCTCAAAGTAGGTAATATGCAGATAAACTATTGCTATGAAGTAATTACCCCATCTCAACTTAATCGTCACCCTGGCCCCTCTCCCACTGAGAGAACCACCAATACCACCTCAGAGAATATAGCCAGCATATTCAGCAAAAACAATCATCACAAATCCGACCCAGCACACATCAGACCACAAAAAACCAATTCATCAATAGCCTGAGAGTACCTTGTAACGTTACATAGCAGATCACCAGTAAGACCCCAACTTCCCTACTCTAGTAGTAGACAAACAGCACGTGGAGCGCTCCCCTCCCCTCCCCACCCACACTAACGTTATGTTAACCCCTGGGCCCTCCATCCTCCATCCACCCCCAACCCTAACTCCCATCCACATCTCTCGATCGGAGATCCAACCCAACCAACAACAACCCCCAACACCCTCAGTAACTCTCTTGCCACTTGGGCACAGTCCTGCCCCCTAAAGCCCGTGGCTATGCACCAACCGCCACACCACATAATCCCCCATGCCTCGGAGAGAACGAACCTGACCCAGCGGGACGCACCGCCACACGGGTGGCTGCATCAGCCACAGTACATACGCTGCGCCACATATATTATGTCATTCCGGGCTTGCGCGTTAGTATCAAACGAACCGTATACTCCGGAGGAATTGATGGGATGGGATGGGATGGGAGAGTGGCAAGAATACTGTATATCTGTCACACTGAAGTGAAACTCGTGGCGCAGTCAGCCTGATGGATGGCTTGTTGGGCTGGTGATGCTGTGATTACTACTGGTTGATGTGGAACTTGGTTACTGTCGGTGGCTGCATAAGCCTATATCATGTTTGCTCGAGTTTGAAGTACTGCGTGGATCTCGGAGTGAATACCGAGCACGTGTAGGAAGGTGAGGCTTGAAGCTAAGCTTGGACTTGCAAAGGGGCATTAGAGGGCTGCATCGCACGACACATGCACGAAGCGGACGGGCTGTGCTTTAACGTTAACCCTACGCAGCATCTCCAGCCTACGGTGGGTGCCTCAGCACCAGTTACGGCTGGATTGGCCTCGTCAATTGTATAGTACTCATCATTATCGGATCCTGCATGTTCAGTACAGCACGCACCAGCCCTCATAGTAAGTAAGAAGCCCAACCTAAGCATCAACCACCCCCAACCCAGCAAACCGATTCCCCAACCCACAAAACCACTCCTTCTCCTTCCCCACCACCTCGCCCTCTTCCTCTCCCCTACCACCACCACCACCACATCTCCCCAAAACATCCTCCATCGCCCACGCAATCCGCTCCGCCCCCAACCTGGCGCCCTCCAAATTCGCCGCCCCGGGCCCCAGCCTCAACGCCGCCAACCGGCCCGCCAGAAACAGCGGCACCCCGTCGCACCACATCAGATCCTCCGTCAAACACGGCAAGCCCTGCCTCGTCTCGACCGGATAGTCCCCGCGCATGGTGTTGAGGAGTGGCATCTGGGTGACATCCGCCCGCATCCCCGTCGCGAAGTAGATGTAGTCGATGGGGGTGGCGGCCAGCTCGGGGATGGGCGGGTCGGTGGCGAGCGTCCAGGTGGAGGTGGCCGGGTCGTAGCGGCGGTCGACGATCACCGTGCGCGGGTGAACGGCCAGCCGCCCGCGTGCGGCGTGCTGCTTCAGGATCTTCTGGTAGCGCGGGGTGACGCTGCCGCCGCCGCGGGCGGCGGCGATCATCGCCAGCCGCTCGTCGTCGGTGTCGGCGGACCAGAACCGGGCTTTCTCGAGGTTCTTGAACTTGCCCATCCAGTTGAGGGTGAGGTCGAAGTGTTTCACTGTTTGCGGGGGTTAGGATATCTCTTGGGGGGTTGTTTGGGGGAGGGCAGGGTTAAGGGGGGCTGGCTAGGGTTACGGTAAAAACGTACCCTTCAAATCCGACCGCATCAACAACCACACCTTCCTCACCCCCCTCCGGATCGCCATATCCGCCACCTGGGCGGCGGTCAACCCGCCCCCAACCACGACCACATGCGTGGCCTGCCGTGCGCGGATCTTGGTCTGGATGCAGGCGCTGGGGAACGCGCGGATCTCCGAGCTGTGGCAGGCGCCGGCCTGCTCGGGGCCCGTCAGTGGGAACGGGAGGATCTTGTGGGTGCCCGGCCCGATGGCGAGCACGACGGCGCGACTGTGGTGCTGCGTGCCGTCGGCGGCGGTCACCGTGAAGATCTTGGAGTCGCTGTGTCCGTGAATGCCGTACCGGATGTCGGTGACTTCGCTCTGGCGGATTAGCCCCGGCCGGTCGAGGCGGTACCGCGCGACGATGCTGGCGCAGTAGTCGGCGAAGAGGCCGGTGGAAGGGGAGAAGTAGTCCTTGCGGTCTCGTTCGTCGATTTCGGGCTCTTGGGGGGGTTTGCTTTGCCGTGCGTTAGCACACACACACCATCTCCATCCCCTGCAGAACTACAGTAGACACGGTGCCCAAGATTGGAAGAGCGAGGTAGATAACCCCAGAACACAAGAGACTAGCAGAGGAAAAAAAAACTCACCCCCTCCCCGCCCTCAACTTCTTCCTCCGATGCTTACTCAACTCCTTCCCCACGCACCCAGAAATCTCCCACAAGTCCCCAAGCCGGTCCTTCTCCTGGGTGTACGCCAGCATTCCATCGCGGTCCCGCGGATCCACGTGGAAGAACATGGGACTGCGCAGCTGCTCGATCTCCAGCGTCCGGAACGCGCGGTTCCACTTCTCCATCCACCGGGGGCCGGAGCCGTCTAGCACGAGGGTGGACATACTTTCCAGCCCGTCCTCATCATCATCATCATCATCATCATCATCTGATGCCGATGTACTCTCTGATCCCGACAAGGAAGAGGATGAGCTGATAGATGACCCAGAAGAAGCCAACCCCGGCACCGGCCCTGAACTCCCTCCTCCATCTTCGGAGGCAAAGCCAGAGGCAGAGCCAGCCCTACCCTCCAAGGCAGATATGGATAAGCTGGCACTAGCACTATTCACATACCGCTCCGCCCGCACCCCCCTCCGCCGCCGCGCGTGCGCCTGCACCAACGCCATCCGGCCGCGGTGCTTGTTGATCCAGTGGTAGCGCTGGTGCTCGTCGTCGGTGAACATGGCGGAGGGGGTCTCTTCGCGGAGGCGGGCGGCGACGGCCAGGCCGCAGGGGCCGGCGCCGATGATGAGCACGGAGTGGATTGGGGGGGTTGTCATTTCGGGTCCGGTTTAGGGGGGTATCACTGTTCGGGGGGGTTGATAATTCCTGTTCTTGGTGGTGGCGGTTGGGGGAGTATTTCTGTTGTTGGTTGAGGTGGTGGTTGTTTCTCTGGTTGGGGGTGGTGGTATTTGAGAGTGATGGTGGGCTGGTAAGTGGATTGTATTCGATTGCGATGGGTTAGTATTCAGGGGCATGGATTTGATTTTAGTTGAGAGATGTGATTTAAAGACAATTGTTGAATAAAGGTTGATCTGTGCCGTAAGAGATGCAGACTGGTGGTGGTTATCAATGGCAACCTTGAACAATAGATAACTTAGGGCTGGCCTGCTTCCCCCGGGTACTCGATCCCAAGGTCCTTGTCCTTGCGCTGCATGGCTGCATTGCTGAGCGACCCATCTTCACCCATGTCGCGGCGTGGTGTCATTGCGGCGATCATGGGGACCTTGCAGACGTATACTCCCTCAAAATGCAAATTTGATCTGTTCCTATGCTGGTGTAGCTCTTCCATTTATGCAAACGAATTCATCACCATAGCTCTTCCATTCATTTAATATGCAAAAACTGGTATCATACCAATCCAATACATTACTCAAAACATTATTAGCTCTTCGGTCGCACCGGACCACTATTTATGCCACTTCTTCGTCTTAGGCTCTGCAGTCATCGCCCGCGAACGAGGCACCCCCCCTCCCTCGCGTCGATGCCACGCATCTTGCGGCCAAACCCAGCCCCGCACGCGCTTCGCGTCCCGCCGCTCGCCGATCTGGGGCTCAGGAATCCATTTGTCCTTCCCATCGGGCAGAACCCGCTGGCGCGTTAACGCCCCCGGCCCGCCCACGTTGAGATGCGCCGACGGCTGCGACGGCAGGGGCACCGACTTCGAGAGCATGAGCAGAAAGTACAGCGCCATGCTCGCGGTCATCGGCCCGTCGAGCTCATCAGGCGACATATCGTAGGTTCCCAACACCGGGGACTGGCTGGCCAAGGAGCTGTCGCTGGACGGGGCCGGGGAGTGCGGATACGTGCATCGGTCCATATGGTATTCCGTCTCACGCGACTGGCTAGCGGCCAGCTTGGTAGGGATAGGCGCAGACAGCTCCAAATACCCAAAGTACGGCACATCGTCGCCCTCGTCGCAGCCGGCTCGGACGCAGACGAGCTCGATCTCGGTCAGGATGAAGCCGTACCGGCACGAATGCTCCCGCATGCACCGCTGCAGATGCGCCAGGCCGTTCAGATACTCCACCCGGCGGTGCGGCGCTTCGTTGCGCATCCCCGTGTTCCACCGATCAAAGGTCTTCACGATCCCCACAAGTCGCCCGCGCGGGAGGCCGGAGCTGGTCCGTTCGGTGTCGGAGGCGTAGTTGGCAAGGAAATGCGGACCGCCGTAGTTTTTGTTGCCCGATACCCGCGGGATCGGAGCATCGTACAGCGTCAGATGCTCAGGGCCCTGCGATACCGCCAGCGCCGCGTTCACGCGAGGAGCGTAGATGTCTCTTAGCACATTGATCAAGCCGGCTTCTGAGTCGGGAGACAGGTGCGAGCTGGGCAGGACGTTCACCGGCGTGAATTGGGAGGGGATCGCTGTTTTGAGAAGCTTTGAGAGTCCATCCACTTGGTTGATGGTTTCCAGGGAGAACGACGACCAGCTGCGCAGGTTGCGAATATCCCACCAGAAGTAGTCGTGCAGCCCTCGTGTCGGGATCACGCTCACATTCCGAACGAGATTTACCGCCTGAGTGGGCGCCGTAAGGTAGGAAAGTAGCGTGGTCGATTCCTCTTCCATCTGGTGAAAAGATCCAACGGGCGAGCATTGAGCACTTGACGTTCGCGTGCAGCTGTAGGGTGACCCTGGCAGCATCAACGGCATCGGGACCTGAGCGGGCGGCCAGGTTCGAAGATGAGTTGGCTCAGCGGGTGAATGCTCAGCATAGGCTGGATACACTACGATATTCGGGGTGACTGGCGTGATGGGCGCGGTGAGTGTACCCTGAGGCTGGACAGAGCACCTGGTAACTTGCCGGTAGATTGAAGACTCATACCGGCCCACTTTCGCTTCATCGATGATAGATGTGGATACCGATCGAGAGTGGCCGCCAACGGCCTTGCGCTTGTACGATGGCGTCAGACTCACGGGCGATGACAGAGCTGGGCCGTGCGGTGTCTTGTACATCGGTGGGACCGAAACAGGCGAAGACAATCCGAGATATTCCGACGCCGTGGCCCGCTGGCTAGACCGTGAGGTGGGGATTGTTGGTAGAGCACCTGGAGGGTTGCGTGTGTTGGAGAGAACACGACGCTGACGGGGCGGTCCATTGGTAGATGTTGGCTCAATCACTACATCCTGCGGCCTGATCTTGGGTAGCAGGGCAGGACCGTGGTGATGCCGCGGAGGTGAGCTGATGATAGGACTCGTCGCTACAGTGACAGCTGACCATGGTGATGAACTATTAGAGTATAGAGAAGAGTCGGATGCGTGGCGGCTATGGCTCGCGCCGATAGATCCTTGCAACTGCATCGCAGGAGGGGTAGAAGGCCGATAGTAAGACAGTTCGTGAGACATGATAATGGGCCTAGGGTGATCGAAGGTTCGATATGTGCAAGAAACTCGGCGAATGTATTATCAAGGAAGGACCAGCTTCCAAGTCTGTAACGAAGAGAAGCTTGCTGAAAGCTAAGCAAGAATAGAAGTAGTGAAAGTGATCAGGGAGATGCCGACGTATGCTAAGATTGACTCATGGTCTTCATGAACGCTCACACTGGTCATGGCGCATTTGGATGGAGACGGCCTCGACATTAAATGCTCTTTGCTCTGCTACCCTGAAGCACCATCTTGTTCCAAAAAAGGAACAGCATGGCCCGAACCGGCTGCAGATGAGATGAAACATGGGGAGATCTCCATCTTGACGCCAGGCCAGCAGTCAGTCCATCGGTCTAGGGCATGATGGCACGAAGATCGGTCCAGGGACTGCCGACATCTGCTGGAGGGAAGCGCGATGCCAACGGTCCTAGGGCGAGTGGGCGTGTTTCATCTGGCAGTCGCGCGTCAAAGTGTTGCTATATTTTGCACCTTCGTCTCTTCTCCAGATCTGAACCAGAGTGTCGGTTATCGGTGCAGATTTTAGGTCGTCAAGATCTAAAAAAAGACCTAAATTCGGCAGCGATTTCGTTTCATCTATTCTGGGTAATTGCACCTAAGTTGATCGATGTAGTTCGCGAGAGCGTCACGCCTGGTTCGTCGAGGTCAGTGGGCGGCAAGAGGGTGTTTATGGGCACAACCAGTTGAGCTGGACCAGTATGCCTTCATGGCGCATAGAGGGAGAGTGACTGCAAGGTTAGGCGCCGAGGGGTCTGTGGAACCACAGCTATTTCAACGCGCATTGGCTGTTATTAAGCACGGCCTTCAGTATCAAGCAACAGGCGGCATGACTTCAACAGCAGGTTCATCCTAAGAATACACCCGGGGAAAAGCAGGAAGGAAAGTACCTGGGAATATATGAGGGTCATGCAAGATGTCGCAGTAGGCGCCGGCCAATGTTGACCTCGGCGCCAGACGGCCTCAGTGGTTCTTCCCTCACGAAAACCTGCAAGGAAGCGTGGGGTTGCCTGCGATTGAGCAAATCATGTCAGATCAAGATGCAAATTAGGGAGAATATCTGCTGTCCCGTCAGATGTGCAGACAGAAACAAATTGCATGAAGATTGCAGAAGAATGAAGAATGAGGAAGAAAGGCCAAGCAGCGGCGAACGAGGGTCAAGCAATCCGGCGGGAAGTAAAACCACTAGGTTGCTCTCGGTTGACCACCACAGAGTACACTCATTGAGTATAACAGCGCTTTCCAACTTGGTCATTGGATCCATCACACGGTTCTGGAGATCTTGAGGAAGCTGGCTGAGCGTCTGACTGAGGCGGCTTTCTTTGGCCAAGTAGGCACGTGACTTGACTTATCTTGACTGTCATCGACGGGACAAAACAAACACCTGCATACCTTACTTATACAAACACCAGGAAAGCTTCGGATTGAATAAACCTTTGATTATCTAAGATAAGAGCAAGGCCCCGAATCTCGTGGGCCGCCTTATGTAAAATGCATCCCAGCACCCGTCTGGGGAGTCTGAAATCGGCCTCCATCCGAAGGCAACAAATAAACAATATGTAGAAACATTAATGCGCCATAACATTTGGCATGGGAATCAAACCGAGAACCCGTCAACCTCGAATCCTTCTCGATCAAATCAATGGCTGGGGGACGGCAGGCAAACAAAATCATCATGCATGCTGGAGGGAATCTAGAAAGTCGTCTAAAGAACTGATCATGTCCAAAGAAGCACAGCTAGTCGTCATTTAGGCCTTGACCTCGTACTTGCGGCGGAACATGTCGTCCACCTCAGTCAGGTAGTAAGTGCCCGGGAAGAGGGTCTCCGTGTTGCCGGAGGGCTTGAAGTTCTTCTTCAAGTGAGCGTGCTTGCGGAGATCGCACATCTATTCCAGCACGATTAGCATTCTGCAACGAAAGATCAGCGGCTCGATGGCTCCTTACCTCAACATAGGACTGGGGAGGAAGAACAACGCGGCTGTTGAGACGGTTGATCAAGTCGAGCTTCTCAACAATGGTCGAGACATCACCGACAACCTTGGCGCTGAGCATGGAACTGGCGAGACCACTGCCGTAGGAGAAGATACCAATGCGCTTGGGCTGGCTAGGGTCGAACTGGACGTAGGACAGCAGACTGGCCAGACCGGCCCAGACGGTACCAGTGTACATGTTACCGCAGAGAGTGGCAACCTCAATGGCGGGCTTGACACGCTCAGCAAAGCGCTTCTTGGTCAGAGCCATGAAGGTCTTCTCAACGTTCTTGTCGGTAAGAGACTTCTCGTAGTCCAGGTCACGCAGCTCAGGGGCGACCTCGGCGAAAGCCGGGTGGGTGGGGTTGGCGAGGAAGTCGTTGTAAAGCATACGGCCGTAGGACTTCTGGACCAGCTTGCAGGTAGGGGCGTGGTAGGCGAAGTAGTCGAAGCGGTCCAGACCGGTCTTGGACTCGTCAGACACGCCGTTGGTGCCGTTCTGAGCCTTCTCCTTGAGAACCTTCTCGCGGGCGTTGAAAGCCTTGTAGCAAGCATCCACAGCCTCGGTGTAGCAGCGAAGAGAGAAGTGACCGTCCACGACAGGGTACTCGCTGGTCAGGTCGGGCTTGTAGAAATCGTAGGCGTGAGTGACATAGGAGGCACGCAGAGCGGTGTCGAGCACAATGGGGGCGTCGGGGCCGATCAACATAGCAACGCAGCCAGCACCACCAGTGGGGCGGGCAGCACCCTCAGCGTAGAGAGCAATATCACCACAGACAACCACGGCATCTCTGCCATCCCAGGCGGAGGACTCGATCCAGTTGAGACTGTTCAGCACGGCGTTGGTGCCACCATAGCAGGCGTTAACGTTGTCGACACCCTCAACGTTGGTGTTACCGTGGGGAGCCAAGAGCTGCATCAAGACCGACTTGACGGACTTGGACTTGTCCAGAAGGGTCTCAGTGCCAACCTCGAGGCGGCCAATGGAGTTGGGGTCGACGTTGTATTTGCGGAGGAGCGAGGAGAAGGTGGTCAAGCAGATGGAGTAGATATCTTTGTTTGGAGAGAAGCACAATCAGCACTGAGTTCCGGAAAATTTCAACAACTCAACAGAAGCATACCTTCACGGTCATCGCAGAAGCTCATCTTAGTCTGGCCCAGACCAATGGTGTATTTGCCTTCGCTGACGCCATCGAACTTCTCGAGCTCGGCCTGGTCAACACACTGACGGGGGAAGTAGACCTCAATGGCCTTGATACCGATGTTCTGGGGACGAGCAGCCATGGTGAATTAGGAGAGAAGGGAAAGTGGGATGGTGGGGAAGAGTGAAGGTTAATTAGGAGGATTAATGGAATAAGTCCAAGGAAGGAACTTTTTGAAGTGTTCAACGAAAATCACAGAGAAAGAAAAGAAGAAGGGATGAGAGGATGGAGGATGCAAGTGAGAATGAGAGAGGAAGTTCTAAGTAAAGAAGAAGAGAAAGAAAGAGGGGGAGAGTCGGTATATAAGTTGTAGGAGTGCAAGCTGGCTGGTACGTACAGAGTGTATCTACAGTGGGGGTTGGTGGACTACGAAGACTGTTAACTACACAGTAAATACTAGCACGTCCCGGGAGTGCATCCCAATTATTCTTTTATTTTATTTTCCTTTTTTTTTTTTTTTGCCCCCGTTCCTTGACCACTTCAGTAGGCTAACAAAACTAGCCTGCAGGGGGTGGGGCTTGCCGACAGCCCCTCGTTGCTGGTTGGCGGCTTGGTGGCCTGAGGCTGGCCCGAGTCCAGTCTGATTCCTTCTTTTCCTTTTCTTTGCACCACCACCACATGTTGTGCTGCTGCTCTGCTGCCGCTGCTGCCCGGTTCCGAATCTACTCATCCTCAACCGCAACGTGAGACCTATAACTATAAATCCTACTCCCATACTGTTCTTATATTATATCGAAGATGATCAAAACTCACCATCCTCCTATTCAACCCCCTCCCATTTCTGCCTGTGCCATCTAAGATGACGCGGATGAGACAATTTTCTCGGAATGTGCTCCAACAGTCAGATCCACCTCCTAATTTCCACACTGGTTCATCTGAAGGTGTCCAGGATCTGGTATACGCCGTACTCTTCATCCTATCTCCCGATGCGGATGGATGCGAACTGTTTCGATCCAACCACAGCCGGACTCCCCCTCAGCGCATTATTACACAAACTGCCTTGCCCTTGCTTTTAGTCTGATCGACTTGTGTTTGTTATGGAAAGGATCCGTAGCTGAGATTGAGTGAGTTTACTTGACCCCGTTCCGTCTCCGTTCCCTGGGTGCTTCCTTTTCACCGACACTTACGGAGGTAAATCGCGGTATATTCGGTCCACCACAACAATACACTTATAAGGGAATCTCCTGCACGTCACCTTGCGAACTGACACCACGTAGTCGCTGAAACTGACAACAAATCGATCCTGTCACTGCAGTAGCTTTCATGAGCTATCAGACTGCGGGACCAGATCTTATTCCACAATTAGTGGTCTTTTCCTGTGGTAATCCTCGGTTGCCCTCGGGTGCACATGGTACGGTACAGGAGCATCTCCTAGCATTAGTTGGGTGGTGACGATAGTGGCCTACACCTATTGTTCTCGCGGACAATATAGAAACACTCCCGGGGCCGGCAATCCAACACACAAAATTATCTTCTCCCGCTTGCGTGTCTGGACGCATGGTGGGGGTAATCGGTCAGTGATCCACCTTGTCCTCTCTTCCAACCACCCCAGTCCCTGCTGTCTTTCGGGTGACTCGGACTTGTGATACGAAGGGCTGAATACCTGTCGAACCTCAACAAGGGAAAGGTGTTCTGGACGTCACCATGGTCTGCATTTCTACGTCGGGACTACCCAGCGGGGGTGCCATGCCTAGATACAGTATGTCAGCTTACAACATCGACAGCGACAGCGTCAAGGTTCCAAGCACCATCAAACCAAATGCTGGATTTGAATCTTCATGCCTAATAATATCCACCCGAGGCCAGAGGGTGTGTAGGTCACCAAAGGGATTGGGGCCTGGCAAAATAATCAATCTTATCTTGTGGATCTGGCCGGTGGGATCTGTATAGGACGCTCCATTCTTGCCGAGATCGCTCTTTGCCCAACCCTCCAATTCGGCAACTTCCCATACAGGATCTCCTGGTGGGTTCGGATTCCCAAGGAGCGAGATGGAACGATTCTGTCTACCTTCTTTGCCCGCTCGCCACCTCGGGTTTTACCTTTCAAAGAATTTTTTCTCTGAAGCCAGGCTAAAAGGTCAATGAGAGTTGGTGATAGGCGTGGCTGCCGTTGCCCCTCTCGTTTGACATCCCTCCTTCCAAATGTGTCTGTTATATGCCCAGAAGAATCCTTGTAGTAATGAGGGTCCACTTGCTGCGCAAGTCCTCGCCATGGCCTCCAATCTTGTTCCAGCATCCAGTGAAGTTGTCAAGGTCGGAATCATTCCGGGTCACGACGGCAGATCCTGACTATACTATCGGAGACGAATTTGAAAATAATGCAGTGTAAGACATTGAATGGTCTGTCTAACCCGAGGGAGATTAGATCGACATTTGTCTCCGATTTAATGTACACATGTAGGTGCTCGAATACTTTCTTCGAACCTCGAAGTAATAATAAAGGATGATTTCGGCCACATTCAGGCGCACTAGAAACATTGTAAGCGAATCTTTCTTAGTGAATTGCAGGGCCGTATCTAGGCCTCGCATTCGATAACTACACTTTCCCTCCTAAATTGTTGCCAAGTCTATAATCCTAGCACGCCTGCTAGCATTGCTAGCATTTTCTTACTAATCTAGGG